TGACATCCCAAGGCAGCAAGAGTCACGGGCACAAGCGCCTGTGGACAACACAGGGGAGTTCAGACTGTGTTCTCAGTACAGTGGGGAGCCCTGGAAGGGCTGAAGCAGAGCAGGACATGGACGGGGATCACTCTTCTGGCTTCGTCCAGCACGAGTTGCTGCACATATTAGTTGCACAAGACCCAGGCCTGCTCTGCAGAGACCTGAGCACCTGAGACCCAGGTCTGCTCTCCGGAGGGCTGAGTGCCTATGAGGCTCTCTGCTGCGCTGTTTGGGGCTAGTAGGCTAGCCCGCCTCCCCACCCCTCCAGCTGCCACTGGGGAATAGAATCATCCAGGTTGGTGCTGCTGTCAGCAGCCGGGTCCCAGATCGACTGTCCGTGGAGACCGTCCATCTGGGCTGCTGGAGCGGCTGCATTCCTGGAATCACCCACTTGGGTGACCGAGAAGACTCTGGCAGAACCCTGGGCAGTGCTGCCCCTGTTCAGGAACCAAGAGAGTTTTCCCAGCCTATTCAGACGAGGTTGGCCAACCTGGCAAACCACGTCCAGCAAGTCCAATGATCTTTGTGCTGTAATGGGTGGGCACAGAGGCATGAGTTGGCCAGCAATTCCCAAAGGGGACAGAAGCCCTCTGACCCCAGCCCCCTTGCCTTCTGCGTAGCTGATGTTGTGGGGGATGGGCAGTCAAATGGTCACTGCTAGCAATATGCTCTAGTCCCGAAGTCCAAGGCCTTCATGAAAGCACTTCTTAGAGAGAGCTATGGGGCTAGGTAGTGGTTCTGGACAACTTTTAGCTGCAGAATCTCATTTACCTAAACGGGTACGTAGTTCATAAAACAGATGAGAGCTTTACCTCTTGGGGCAGAGCCAGGATGTGTTTCCCAAGCCACTCCCATCCCTCTTTGCCTTCACCCACTGGTAACTTTGGGCCACAGTCACTTCTCTCCGGCCTCAGTTTCTTTCTCTGTCAATACTGAACTGGACTGTGTGAGGTCTCTCTGCCCCACCCCTCCACACTAGACTCCCCTGGCCTCGACGAAAGATCTTGGAGAAAGTCTTCAGGGGCTCCATCCCACATAGAGGGAGAGGGACGGGTGCCCCACATTGCACACCCACTGTGTGGCACAGTCCACAGGACTGGTGTCAGGGAGGGGCAGAGTGGGGAGGGAGACCCCAGCCACCTGCCCAGATCCTGGATGACAGCAGAGTAAACTGCAAAGAGCCGACCACCCCTGCGATTGTGGAACCCCTAATTCAACTGATTCGTTCCTTTCAGAATCAATGCCCAAGGAGCCAGCAGGGTGCTGGATTCTCACTCACACCAGCCCCTGTCTGGGTTGGGTTTGTGGACTTCCAGGGCTGGCTGCTAGCCCTGGGGATCCACTCAGGTCTTCCTCCGGCCTCAGTCCCCTCAACAGTTAATACGATTTTTTCTTGACTGACAACAATCACAAAACCAAAACAATCAACTATTTTTATCTCCGGATTAATCACAAAAAGGCTAATGCTTCCACCTTCCTTGTGATTAAAAATTAGGAGCTCAAATTCCATAGTGGTTCAGGATAACAACCAATCCTGCGAGGGGGTATGAATAATGCATCTCCAGGCTCGGCTGCTCGGCCATCCCAGCTCTGGGCCGAGTCTGAACGCAGAGGTAATGAGTGTCCCCCTTCCATCCGAGCTGCATCTGCCGAGAGCGACTGGAAATTTTTATTCAGCCTGCTGGCCCCCAAACAGCCTCCCTCCCAGCCCCCTACCCCCTA